CCCCTAACCCTAACCCCTAACCCTAACCCCTTCCACCTGGGAATCCAGACTGCATTCTACCACAGTGCACTAGCTACCGTAATGATACTGCCTCACAAATTAGTCTACCCAAGTTACTGGTGCACTGTGCTTATTTTAATAATCTCCTCTCTGTTAAGAACATGAAATATGCTGTAATGGACCATAATAAAGCCTACTAATCCCCCAGAAAGCACCAGTTTTAAAAGCACTAACCCAAAATGGTTAGTTAAATCATGTTAAGTTAAAGTTTAATGCCTTTGTACCTCCAGGCTGTTGAAGCAGACTGTGATGTCAAGCTGCTCAGTGATGAGGGCGTCGACAATGTGGTTGCTGCAAAATGCCACTCAGAGCCAGGTAATTTGTCCTTCTCCCTCTTGGATTCTTAGATGGGCTGGGTTGAAGAAACTAAGACAGGGTTGGCAACCTTAAACTCTCAAAGAGCCACAAAAGTCCTAACCAGAAACCCCCATTCAATTCTGGAGCCGACCAGAAGTCCTGTTCCCCCACCATGGAGTCTCCTCTTAGCGCAGCGTTCTTTTTCCTCTACCTGTCCTAACCAAAAGCCCTATTGATTGTATAGCCAACTGGTGCAGGGAGCCACAGTAGGGGGATGAAAGAGACACATGCGGCTCCAGAGCTGCAGGTTGCCGACCCCTGAACTAAGAGCCGAGCTAGTGACCTCTTGTCATTTCTTGTCCTGTTTTATTAATTTTTTATGATGGTGGAGTTACTAACCCAGCCTTTCTTTAAAATTCAGCAGCACCTTAGGAATTTTTAAGAAGAGACTAGACAACCATTTGTCTGAAATGGTACATGATATCCTGCGTTTTTTTGCAACAGTTCTCAACGAAGCCTGCCACCTGCTTTAAAAACACACGAAGAACGGTTGCAGGAACTGGGCATGGCTAGTCTAGTGAAGAGAAGGACCAAGGGAGACATGATAGCAGTCTTACAATATTTGAGGGGCTGCCACAGAGAGGAGGGGGTCAAGCAATTTTCCAAGGCACCCGGAGGCCAGGCAAGGAATAAAGGAGAGATTCAGCCTAGAAATAAGGAGGAACTTTCTGACAGTGAGAACAATCAACCCATGGAACAGAAGTTGCCTTCAGAAGTTATGGGTGCTCCATCACTGGAGGCTTTCAAGAAGAGACTGGACTGCCATTTGTCAGAAATGGTGCAGGGTCTCCTGCTTGGACAGGGGGTTGGACTAGATGACCTAAAAGGTCCCTTCCTTTTCTGTTAATCTGTATCTGTAAATGCCCTTCTTGACAATTTTTTTTGTCTTTTCAGATTCTGTGGAAGACATGCAGAAACATTGTCCAAAATGTCCAATTCTTTTGTCTCTGAGTGACCCTCATGTGGTAGATTCTGCTAACTATGTGCTCCATAAACACAATGACAAACTGCCCGACCATGCTTACGAAGTCCTTGAGATTTCAAGAGGGCAGCAGAAGGTTAGTATGCAAATCTTAAAAAGGAATTCCGATTAACTCTTCCAGTTTAATGCTTTGATACTTCATATAACTAAGAGAAAGCAGGAGGAGATGGGGGGGAGGGGGAGAGATCTGCAAAAATCTAGGAAAAGAACCAGATATCAAAAAAGGAGAATATTTGTAGCTCAGGATTGAAATGAGGGGTCCTGGGTGTTCTCTGATCTTGGTTATTTTCTTGCGGATGTTTCATTAACCAAACTAGGTAACATCATCAGTGCTAAACTGATCATAGACTAACACCAATGACATGGGTAGGATTCAGCCGGTTCTGACCGGTTTGGGTGGACCGGTTGTTAATTTTACATCTGGTTCGCTGAACGGATAGTCTGAANATTCTCCAAAGCCCCTTGAGTGTAGAACAAGAAGCAATGGGTGGAAACTAATCAAGGAGAGAACCAACTTTGAACTAAGGAGAAATTTCCTTAGAACAATTAATCAGTTGAACAACTTGCCTCCAGAAATTGTGAATGCTCCAACACTGGAAGTTTTTAAGAAGATGTTGGATAACCATTTGTCTGAAGTGGTGTAGGGTTTCCTGCCTAAGCAGGGGGTTGGACTTGAAGACTTCTAAGGTCCCTTCCAACTCTGTTATTCTATTCTATTCATAAATACTGTAAAAGGAATTTGTTCCCATTTTTCTGGTTCAGCTTGAAATTTCAGATATTACCAAAGAACAAGCATGTTTCTTCTAATGCCAGGATGTTGCCTTTTTATATGTAATTTCAGCAAGTGTAATGTCAGCAAGTGTTAATAAGTTCTAGCAAATATTGTTTTGAATTCATGCCTTTTAACTCCATAAAATTGATCTGGTTTGTTTTATGCTTATGCCATTCTGATTTTTCTTCTGTGCTTATAGTATAATTTGCATTATTCAAATTGGTGGATTGATAGCCACCATGGTTGATCCTCAGAAAGAAATAGCAGAGTGTGCATTTTAATAAGATGTCATGATTAATAAAGAAATACATATATTAGGCTCTCTGGGCAGGTCTGGCATTTTGTGTTGCACTCATCTAAAACTAGACCAGAAAAAAAGAATCTTGATGTAATCACTTCGATGTAATCATGCTAAGATTGCTTCCCCCACTTCAGGTCCCAAGTCCCAGTCAACCAAATCAACACAAATGTGAAGAAAATGTATGTGTTCCAGTTTTGTAATTAAATTTGCAAACTGGCATTTGAATACCCTGGTAGAAGGATGGATGGATTTGAGTTTTCTCTCCGTCTCAAGGATAGGCTTATGCAGAGGTCAGAGGAAATGGCCTTGAGGAACAAGAGGAAGACCTGCTACTAAGGCAATGGTCAAGGGAAAAAGGGGGAGGTCTGAATCCAGGTCAAGAAAGTAACTCAGGAAAACATCTCAGCTAAACCCCTCACTAATTCTCCTGAAAATAAAGTGAGAGAGGGGAGAAACAGATTAAGATTGGCAAGATTCCATTATTATAGTTTTAAAGTAGAAACAGTAATGACCTACCTTGAAGAGCTTGTTCATTCACTACTGGAGGCCCTTAGGCATATATGTTATTGGTTAGGACATTGGATGAGGATATAGAAGATCAAGCTCAATTGTTCCCTCAAATATAGCTGGAAATGTCTTCTAAATAGGAAGATAAGAATTGCAGGGTCCTCGGTGCCCTCTGAGTTGGTGGCTTTTCTTGCAGATGTTTCATTCTCAAACTAGGAAACATCAAGAGTGCACTGATGATGTTAGGGGTTCTTGAAGCTCTCTGAATTTGGTGGCTTTTCTTGAAAGTCTTATACTCTGTAAAATACGGTACCTATTTTGATTAAAGAAACATCTGCAAGAAAGCCACCAAGCTGGAAAAGCTCTGAGGACCTCACAATTTATAATCTGTAAGTATTCTCTCCTACCAGAGTTAAGAATGTTTCATCTGAATTTAGCCATATTTGAAAAAAAGCAGAAAATAAATTTTGAACTTTGTTTTTACTAGGAGCCAAAATAAACCCACGTTCTCTGTAAAATGCCTGCCCCTTTACGCAGTATTTTTCCTGGGTACAAGTGGGACATCAAAGTGTCAGTGTGTGGCTACAGTGGTATCCTAGGTGTATTCTACAGTGGTATCTTGAAAGTTCTCTAGATTATTATCCTTTACATCCATTTTACACAAAGGCAACCAAGATTGAATTAAAAATGACTTTCTGAAATCCATCTCATGGTTGCTTGGGAATGAATAATGACCATTAGATTCCCAACCTCCAGTGATGAGCTTTGACACCATTTGATATAATAATACATGTATTTCCCTTCCCTTATGAACACCCCTTCTGTTTCTGTATTGAAAGAGAAACACTGCCATAAAAAATCTCAGTTCTGATTCATTATTCATACTTTAATCTTTTGGTCTACATTTTCACAGTGACTTTCAATCACAGCAACTAAAAGGGATGTCATATATATGTGGCCATAATACCAATATTATGCCAATAATATAAGGAAGGCTGAGCACCAAAGAATTGAGGCCTTTGAACTCTGCTGCTGGAGAAAACTCCTGTGAGTCCCTCGGATTGCAAGGCGATCAAACTGGTCAGTCCTAAAGGAGATCAACCCTGCCTGCCCCTTTGGAAGGCCAGATCCTGAAGTTAAAACTTAAATACTTTGGCCATCTAATGAGAAGGAAGGACTCACTGGAGAAAAGCCTAATGCTGGGAAAGATTGAAGGCAAAAGAAGAAGGGGAAAACAGAGACTGAGATCAGAGGTGTGTTACTCCTGGAATGGCCCTGTTTGGCTGAATCACTAGTGGAATTCAGACCTGGGTCACAGAACCGGCAGGAACCCCGACCTGCCACACCCCCAAACCAGTTCCCTCGCTGCTGCTGGGCTGCTGCCATTTTGGTTTTTAGTGACTGCACATGCGCAGTTCACTGCAAATTGTTCTGCACATGAAAAGCACACATCCATGCATTGCACATGGGTTGCAAACCAGTAGTAAAACCGACAGCAACCCACCCCTGAATGAGATGGCTGGATAGAGTCATCATCCAAGTGGTCTCAACGACTCTCAGAAAGAGAGCTAATGACCAGATGACTGCAAGGGATATAAATCCTTCCATCCTCCCCTATTCAGCCCAAACGGAATAAGCTTCTTGGATAAGAAGTGAAATGTCTTCAAGAAAAACAACAACAAAGATCAGTTGCCTTTTGATAAAAAAACACCTTTGGACATTTGAACTGTTAGGTTTCCACCAGTCTTAGACTGTGAATCTAATATATATTACCATGCCTATTTGTGCTGCACCATGCAGCCCAAATTGATGTAGATCCATAGTCACACAATGCCTGTCTATTCAAAGGCTGCACCATGTTTTATATAGCATATTAACGATCACATATCCAAAAGATCCCATTTGATGCAATTCAGTGAGATTGGAGATATTTTGCTTCTTAGGATTTCCCCAAATCCTGCAAAATGGGGGGAGGGTTTCAAGGTAAATTTCCCCTTCCCTTAAAACATCTTGCATGAGAGTTCTTGCAAGCTTGTCCCATAATGTTGCAAAAAAGAGGAATGAAAAACCACCCCACCTCCATGGATGCCAAGAGTCAAACTCAACTGGAAGAAGACAAGATTTGGCTTTTCATCTATATGTACAGAGGAGATCCTGATTTTTCCAGGAGTCTCTATTTGAGACATTCACCAGTCATTATATCTTTGCAACTTTATGAATCCTTAAATCCATCTAAAACTTTTAAGGGCTTAATAAATGCTTTGTCTCTTAAGAAGAATGAATCCCATTCATCTCCCTACACCTTTCCACATTGGTGATCATTCAACTCTCTATGGTTAAAAATGCAACTGAGGAAAGTGTAATCCCAGTTCATTTCCTGAACAATGTGTGCACAGAAACAACATTTATCACAATAAGAGCAACACACATGATTGCTCGTTGGAGCTCCTGCTTTCAAGTCCAAGAGTTTGAGGGGAAAAATGGCTTGATCTGTCTCAACAATGCCCCTATTGCTGGAATAGATCATCTTTTTAAATCCCATCATGCTGTGATTTGTGCAGCTGGGTCACTGAAAGTTTTGAAGATAGGTCAGCCTGCCTTCCCGTCAGGACTTTCACAGGGGCCCAATGACTGGTTTGAAAGCCCAAGACTCTTATTTCATCAAAGCTGAGTAGGTATAATACACTTTTGTAAGTTACTTGAGGTCTTCAGATCGGGGCAGATTGAAAAGAAACTGTAAACTAAATTGATCTAGAAATGTTCAGCTTAAAATTTGATGTATTCATTTGCTCTGCAGTTAAATCTGTCAGTTACAGTAAACCTGCATCCAGTTCTGGTCACAATGAAATTAAAAAAATTGTTGAAACTCTGGAAAGAGTCCGGTGAAGAGCAACAAGAATAATGAGGCAGTTGGAGGCTAAAACAAACAAATAACAATTGCAGGAATTGGGTTTGTCTAGTGAAAAGAAGGACTGGGTGTGGCATGATAACAATGTTCCAATATTTGAGGGGCTCCTACAAAGACAAGGGGGTCAATCTATTTTGCAGAGCACCAGAAGGCAAGACGAGAAACAACAGATGGAAACTAATCAAGGAGAGAAACAACCTAGAACCAAGGAGAAATTTCCTAATGGTGAGAGCAAGCAATCAATGGAACAACTTGCCTTCAGAAGTTGTAGGCGCTACATCACTGGAGGTTTTCAAGAAGAGATTGGACAACCATTTGCCTGGAATGATATAGGTTCTCCTGCTCAACTAGGGGATTGGACTAAAAGGCCTCAAATATTCCTTGCAATTCTCCTATTCTGTGTTCCAAGTAGATTCTACATTTTGAACACTCCAAACTGACTTTGGATTATATTCACTGTTTGCGTGGCTTAACATGTACATAGTGAGGATGATATACAGATATTGTATAGAAGATAGAGCTAGAAATAATAAAGAGATAGAAATGAAGATAGATATGACTATACCATACAGAATTGCAGCACCCCTGCATTAGAGTGTACTTAATAATTTTTGTTAGTCTGTTTACTAAATAATTTCC